GCCTCCAGAAGTGCTGAATGCTCCAACACTGGAAGTTTTTAAGAAGAAACTGGACAGCCATTTGTCCGAAATGGTATAGGGTTACCTGCCTGAGCAGGGGGTTGGACTTGATGACCTCCAAGGTCCCTTCCAACTTTATTATTATTATTATTATTATTATTATTATTATTATTATTATTATTATTATTATTATTATTATCATCATCATCATCATCATCATCATCATCATCATTTACCCATCTCATTGTCAAGCAACTCTGGCTGGCTTACAACTTTATAAAAGCACCCTATGTAACAATCAGAACATTAAAAACATTAGGCATTAAAACACTGAAAGTTAACGAAAATAAAAAAGGATAAACAGGGAGGGATGTGTAAACGGGGCAGGGGGTGGGAATGTTCTCCTAACCGTGTACATTTCTTAAACAAACAAATACAATTGTGTTTCTGCTCTCATGGGACATCAGAAACCTGGGAGAGCTGATTGACCGCTTCGTGGGGGACTTCAAAGCCCAGGGACCCCCAAAGCCGAACGTGGACGAGGGGGGTGCCGTTCTGCCCAGCTGCGCTGACCTCTTTGTCTATTACAAGAAGTGCATGGTCCAGTGCTCGCAGCTGAGCACCGGGGAGCCCATGATTGCCCTCACCACCATATTCCAGAAATATCTGCGGGAATACGCCTGGAAGATCCTCTCTGGAAATTTACCCAAGTAAGTTTTGAATTGAATTGAATTGAATTGAATAGAGTAGTCCTTGACTTACAACAGTTCGTTTAATGGCCATTTGAAGTTACAATGGCACTGAAAAAAGGGACTTAAGACCACTTTTCATACTTACTATGATCGTTATAGCATCCCCACGGTCACGTGATCAAAATTCGAACACTTGGCAACTGGCTCATATTTATGACGGTTGCAGCGTCCTAGGGGGGGTCACGTGATCCCCTTTCGCGACTTTCTGACAAGCAAAGTCTACGGGGGAAGCCGGATTCACTTAACCAGGGCTTTTCAACCTTTTCACCCATTTGTACCACTTTTAGGATATGGCAGTATCCGAGTACCACCAATCGCCTAGCAAGGTGTCAAAAACTTGACCCAAAAAAAAAAAAAGGTAGTCCTTGACTTACAACAGTTCTCTTAATGACTGTTCGAAGTTACAATGGCACTGAAAAAAGTGCCCCCCAAGCCACAGCCGAGCAAGACACCTGCCTGCCCGCCCGGCGGCACTCTTCCTCCTGTCCGAGGTTTTCATTGTTGTGAGCATTTCTGTTGAGGATTGGCAGCAGGGGTGGGGTAGGGGGTGTTTGGTTTTTATTCCCCCCGTCTGCTGGGTGGTTGCAGGTTTTGGTCACTTCACATGACCCTGGGACACTGTGACCCTCATAAATATGAATCAGTTGCCAAGTATCTGAATGTAAATCACAAGACCCTGGAGATGCTGCAACATTCCAGCTGATCGGCGCTTCTTCTGGGTTGAGCAGAAGGGCCAGGATCAGTGCTGCTTTTCAGCTGGAGCCTGGCGCTGATCCTGGGGCTTCCGCTGAGCCCTGACAGCCCTGCAGCTCCAGCAGTCTCTCGCTCAGGCTTGTGCAGTGCTGCCACCGGTTCAGCTCATTCCCCTCCCCCGCTACCACTTTTCTAGGATGGTTGTGTACCACCTGCCAGGTGCCAATTTACCACAGGTGGTACCTGTACCACTGGTTGAAAAGCCCTGCACTTAACAGCCGTGTTACTAACTTAACAACTGCAGTGATTCCCTTAACCAATGCGGCAAGAAAAGTCGTAAAACGGGGCAAAATTCAGTTCCCAAATGTCTCACTGTACAACAGAAACGTTGGGCTCAATTCCGGTTGTAAGTTGAGGACTTATTTGGCCAGGTGTAATTAGACACACGAGTTTGCGTCCGGTGCAGAAGCTCTCCGTGTACATGCAAAGCAACAGAATAAAATAATAACAATACCAATAAAAGGGAGAGTAAAGAAAATAAGAAGGATAAATAATATCACTATAGCTACACTACCTGGGTAAAATACACATAGACATTAGACAGCACTGTGAGAATTCGGTGTTCACCAGGATGTTAAGCAAATACGACAGTCGTAAGATTGTAATTCAAAACAATTGACAGACCTGCATTGTTTTTGATGGTTGCGACTCCCATCCAGAAGGCTCGCGAGTCGTGCGGCATGCAAGTTGTATAAATCAGAGGCCCCCAACCTTTTGGGCACCAGGGACCGGTTCCGTGGAGAGAGGTTTTCCGCGGACCGGAGGGGGCATGGTTTTGTCTACTGCCTGCATCCTGCGGATGGGGCTTTGCTTGTTTGTGCGGACCGGTTGCTGGCATGCGACGGACCGGGGGTTGGGAAATGTTGTTGTTAGTTGCAAAGTCGTGTCCGACCAATCGCGATCCCATGGACAACGTTCCTCCAGGCCTTCCTGTCCTCTACCATCTTCTGGAGTTCATTTAAGCTCACGCCTCCTGCTTCAGTGACTCCATCCAGCCTCCTGATTCTCTGTCGTCCCCTTCTTCTCTTGCCCTCCATCTTTCCCAGCATCAGGCTCTTCTCCAGTGAGTCCTTCCTTCTCATTAGGTGGCCAGAGTACTTGAGTTTCCACTTCAGGATCTGGCCTTCTAAAGGAGCAGTCGGGGTTGATCTCCTCTAGGACTGACCGGTTTGATCGGCTTGCAGTCCAGGGGACTCGCAGGAGTCTTCTCCAGCACCAGAGTTCATAGGCCTCCATTCTTTGACGCTCAGCCTTTCTTACGGTCCAACTTTCACAGCCATACATTGCAACTGGGAAAACCATGGCCTTGGTATAACGTATTATTCTCGTTTGCGACCACAACAGGACCACGAACACCAGCGGTGGTGGCCTGACCATCACCAGTTTACTAAAGGAGAAAGATGGTTCGGAGGTGGCTAAATTTACCTTAGAGGAGCTTTGCCTAATCTGTAGCATTCTGAGCACGGCCGAATACTGCTTGGCGACCACTCAACAGGTAAGGACACCTCAACATCTTCCGAGACAGATCCCTGGGAGTTTGTTACATGCCAATTCTGACTTTTGGTGGGGAACGCAATTCCTGCAACCGTATGTTTTTGTCTCCAGGACTTTCATCATCTTAGTTGCTCTGCTCTGCACTTTTTCCAAGGTCTCAATACTGTTTTTGTAATGTGGTGACCAAAACTGGATGCGGTATTCCAGGTGTGGCCTTACTAAGGATTTATAAAGCGGTACTAATACTTCACCTGATTTTGATTCTATGCCTCTGTTTATACAACCCAGGATTGTATTAGCTGTTTTGGCTGCTGCCGCACATGGCTGGCTCATGTTTAAGGGATCGTCCACTGCGACTCCAAGGTCCCTCTCACAATTACTATTTTTGAGTCAACTTTCGCATAATCTGTATTTGTATTTTGGTTTTTCCTGCCTAGGGGTAAAACTTTGCTTTCCTTCACATTAAATTTCATGTTGTTGGATAGGGCCCATTGTTCATGTCTGTCAAGATCTTTTTGGATCCTGAGTTTGTTTTCTGGGGTGTTGGCTGTTCCTGCCAGCTTAGTGTCATCTGCAAATGTGATGAGTTTCCCTTCAATTCCTTCATCTAAGTCAGACATGTCAAACTCGCGATGTCACGTGACGTCGTGCAACGTATTGGGATAGTTTTGCCATTGCTGGCAATGGGATGAGCGCAGCTCCCGTGTGACGCGTCCAGCCCACGGGCCGGCAGTTTGACACCCCTGATCTAAGTCATTAATGAAGATATTGAAGCGTACCGGGCCTAAGACGGAACCTTGTGGTACCCCACTGCTTACTTCCCTCCATGTGGATGTACTACCATTAAGGACGACAAATCCATCTGGTGGTGATGTTGTCTATACCACAGTTTTCTAGTTTACCAAGGAGTAGGTTGTGGTTTACTTGTTGAATGCCTTGTTGAAGTCTAAATATACTATGTCAGTGATGGCGAACCTTTTAGAGACCGAGTGCCCAAAAACCACCCCCCGCTCCGCCTCCCGCCCACAGGGCCATGCACTACCTCAATGGCCTGCCGTAGCAGATCACCCAGGCAGCCCTGCAGCACCATGGCAGCCACGCCTTCCGCCCACACCCCGCAGCATCATCTGCACGCTATGGAGCGTGAGGGCGGAGTCTTGTCCCTGCTGCCCGGCTATGTCCTTGGCTGCGCTGCTCCGTGCAGGCCACGCCAGGGGCAACTCTCCTCCAGGGGGGCTTCTGGAGAGGAGGGGGCCGCAGGGGGAGATGGGGCTGGGGCAATGGCACGCGTGCCCACAGAGAGGGCTCTGAGTGCCGCCTCTGGTACGCGTGCCATAGGTTCGCCACCACTGTACTATGTCCACAGCATTTTGCTGGTCTACTAATTTAGTCACTTTGTCAAAAAATGAAATAAGATTGGTTTGGCGTGATCTGTTTTTAACAAACCCGTGCTGGCGACTGGTTATAACTTTATTTGTTTCTAGATGTTCGCAGATCTGTTTTTTTTTCTTCCAGTATCTTCCCAGGTATTGATGTTAGGTTGATTGGTCTGTAGTTTCCTGGGTCTATTTTCCCCCCCTTCTTTGAAGATGGGAACCACATCAGCCCTTTTCCAATCCTCTGGTAGTTCCCCGGTGCTCCAAGGTTTTTGAAAGATATGGTGCAATGGTTCTGAGATAACATCTGCCAGCTCCTTCAGAACTCTGGGATGTAATCTGTCGGGTCCCGGTGATTTATATTCATCAAGGTCAGACAGGTGTTCTCTTACCATTTTCTTGCTTATTTTAATTTTTATTTCTAGTCTGTCTTTTACGGTTAAGTTTTTGGTAGGTTGGGCTATAGTTTCTTTTTGCATGAAAACTGATGCAAAGAATGAGTAAACCAGCTCTGCTTTCTCTCTACTGCCTGTTACTTCCTTGCCATCTTCTCTCTTTAGTAGACCGACTGTTTTCTTGACTTTTTTGTTATTTATATGTTGAAAGAAACTTTTTTTTAATTATCTTTGACTTTTGTTGTAAGTCTTGGTTCATTCTGAGCCTTTGCTTTCCTGACTTCATCTTTGCAGATTCGGGTTATCTGCTGATACTCTGCCTTAGTTATGTGTCTCTCTCTTTCCATTTTTTTGTACTTATCCTTTTTTGTCTTTCAATTTGTCAGAGAGATCTTTGTGCAACCATGCTGCTTTCTTCTTGGATTTCTTGTTTTTCTTTTTCAGTGGTATTGTGCTGGACTGGGCTTTTATGATCCCATTTTTCAGAGTCTCCCACACTTCTTGAGTTGTTTCCCCCTTTAGAATTTTCATCCATGGAATTTTTCTTAGGCTCTGAGTTTGTTAAAATCAGCTCTTTTAAAGTTTAAGACACTGGTTGGATTATATTCTATTGCTTGTGTTTGCATGATATGGAATTTCCTCCTCTACCTTTTGGGTGACAAAGTTGTCGGCTAGGTTGGTGAGGAATCTGTTCGATCTCCAACTTGCTGCAGAGTTTGTCTCCCAGTTGATATCAGGGTAGTTAATAGTTAAAGTCTCCCATTACTACTGGGGTATGTTTCCTACATACATTTGTTAATTGATTAGCAAAGAGTTCATCTATTCCTTCTGCTTGGTTGGGTGGCCTGTGGCATACACCTATAGCAATGTCATTCTTTTTCCCTTTTACATTGACCCATATGGATTCTAGGAGGTTTTCATCCTTGGATTTGTGGATTTTTGTAAAGAGATAGTGATCTTTTATATATAATGCGACTCCACCTCCTCTTTTGTTAGATCTGTTCCTTTTGAATAGTTTGTATTCTTCCAGCAGTACATTCCAGTCATGGTTTCTTCCCACCCAGTTTCAGCAACGGCAACTATATCATATCTGCCTTCATGTGCTAACAAACGGCCTGTTTGTTCCCTAAACTTTGACCGTTCATGTACAGACATTTGAGTTCTTTATGGATCTTGGGTATGTTTCTTATACCTCCTAGTGCAGGGGTAGGCAACCTTGGCTCTTTTATGACTCATGGACTTCAACTCCCAGAATTCCTGAGCCAGCATGGCTCAGTTTGGAAACTTCTCCCTTTCCCCTCAGCATGGCTGGCTCAGGAATTCTGGGAGTTGAAATCCACAAGTCATAAAAGAGCCAAGGTTGCCTACCCCTGGTCTAGGCCAACCCCCTGCTCAGGTAAGAAACCCTATACCAGGGGTAGGCAACCTTGGCTCTTTTATGATTGGTGGACTTCAACTCCCAGAATTCCTGAGCCAGCATGGGGGAGCTGTGGCCTCTTCATGTCTTGTGGACTTCAACTCCCAGAATTCCTGACCAGCATGGGGGAACTGTGGCCCCTTCATGACCTGTGGACTTCAACTCCCAGAATTCCTGAGCCAGCATGGGGGAACGTTGGCCCCCTCATGACTTGTGGACTTCAACTCCCAGAATTCCTGAGCCAGCACGGCTCAGCATGGAAACTTCTCCCTTTCCCCTCAGCCTGGCTGGCTCAGGAATTCTGGGAGTTGAAGTCCACGAGTCATAAAAGAGCCAAGGTTGCCTACCCTTGTCCTAGTGTGTGTAATTGGGATTTCCATCCTTCCCATCACTCTTTACTTGATTATGTTGTTATTATTGTTGTTGTTATTATGTCAATAAGCATTTACAACAGTTGCGGTGTCTTGGGGTCACGTGATTGCCTTTTTTTGACGTTCCCAGCTGGCTTCCAACAAGCAAAATCAGTGGGGGAAGCCAGATTCACTAAAACAACTGTGTGGTTCATTGAATGACCATAAAGGATGGTCATAAAATCAGGGGTGGTTCACGTAGCACCTGCCTTGCTTAGCGACGGAACTTCTGGTCCGGAGAATATTTGAAGCTCAGGGTTGAAATGAGAGCGCTTGGTGGTCAACGAGGTGGGTTGTTTCCTTGCAGACGTTTCATGACCCAACTAAGTGACATCATCAGTGCTAGAAGGGAGTGGGGTTTGTGGAGAGGAGGAGGAGGAGGAGGAGGAGGAAGAGAAGGAGAAGGAGGAGGACTGTGGGGTCCTTTGTGCTCAATAATAATACTAATAACAACAACAATAAAGTTGGAGGGGACCTTGGAGGTCATCTAGTCCAACCCCCTGCTCAGGCAGGAAACTCTATATACCATTTCAGACAAATGGCTGTCCAGTCTCTTCTTAAAAACTTCCAGTGTTGGAGCTTTCACCACTTCTGGAGGCAAGGAGTTACACTGATTAATTGTTCTAACTGTCAGGAAGTTTCTCCTTAGTTCCAGGTTGCTTCTCTCCTTGATGAGTTTCCACCCGTTGCTTCTTGTTCTGCCTTCAGGCGCTTTGGAGAAGAGCTTGACTCCCTCTTCTTTGGGGCAGCCCCTGAGATATTGGAACACTGCTATCCTGTCCCCCCTCGTCCTTCTCTTCGTTAAACTAGACAGACCCAATTCCAGCAACTGTTCCTTATGTATTTTAGCCTCTAGACCTCTCATCTAGGTTGTTTCCTTGCAGATGTTTCATGACCCAACTAGATAACCTCATCCCCCATATCAAAATAACTTACCTTACGTGCAGCCAGAACTTGAAAATTACATTTAACACAGCACAATACCTGAGCAAAATGGTTCGTCTGAGATCGGCTTATGTGAGAGTGATTGGGGTAGATTGTAGGGGTGGTAGTGAAATATAATTTTATCATATTTTATCTATCTAAATCTTAAATTGCTGTATTTGATTCTTAATTTCATTTAAAAAATGTGTTTTATTCCAATTTCATTTTAAATTGTATCTTATTTCTATTTTATCCTAAATTATATTTTAACTAATTCCATTCTAAATTGTTTTTACTGCATTTTAGTATAACGTGTGTTTGGAACTGTGCACCTTGATATGGCCTATTTTTTTTTATTATTATTATTATTATTATTATTATTATTATTATTATTATTATTATTATTATTATTACTACTATTATAGTGCTAGAAGAGTTGTGGAAAGTAGGAGGAGGGTGACTGTGGGGTCCTTGGTGCTTTCTGAGCTTGGTGGTTTTCTTGCAGACGTTTCATGACCCATCTAGTGATGTCATCAGTGCTAGAAGACAGTAGGGCTTGCATGGAGGAGAAGAAAGACTGTGAGGTCCTTCAGGCGCTCTGAATTTGGCTATTTTCTTGTAGACATCTCATAACCCAACTAGGTGACCTCATCAGTGTTAGGGACTGGCGTTCTGGAATAATTTCTTCTCTCTTATTCCAGCTTGAAGAAAAGCTCAAGGAGAAGGTGGATGACACCTTGGTTGAAAGAATCACCCTGATGGGAGAGATGGATACCTTCAGCACGTAAGTCCCCAGCAGCAGGACAATTAATTTAATTCATTTCTTTGATTCCTATCCCTTATTATGGTTTATAAAAACCTCAAGGTGACGGACACACCTAATACTCCTTCTCCCTCCTGTTTTCCCCACGACAGTCTTGTGAGGTGGGTTAAGCTGAGAGAAAGTGACTGGCCCAAAGTTATCCAATTGGCTTTCATGCCTAAGGTGGGTCTAGAACAGTGGTTCTCAACCTTTTTAATGCCACGACCCCCAACCGGTCGTAAGTCGAGGACTAAACCGGTTGTACGTTGAGGACTAAACCGGTCGTAAGTCGAGGACTAAACTGGTCGTAAGTCGAGGACTACCCAACCGGTCGTAAGTCGAGGACTTTCCCTGCCCGGGAGCGCCGTGCATGCGTGGTTCCGCCCCCTGCGCCGGCCGAGGCGTAGTTGGCAAGCAGCAGAGACGGAGCAGGCCGACCACCAGCTGGCCCAGCTCAAGGGAGGTAAGGCACCCGCCGGAAAAGGGGAAAGAAATGGCGGACAGTCTTGCTTGGCGACCCCCGTGAAATGGTCGATCGACCCCAAATGGGGTCGCGACCCATAGGTTGAGAACCGCTGGTCTAGAACAAGGCTTTTCAACCAGTGGTACGGGTACCACCTGTGGTACATTGGCACCTGGCAGGTGGTACGCGACCATCCAAGAAAAGTGGTAGTGGGGGAGGGGAATGAGCTGAACCGCACCACACAAGCCTGAGAGAGAGACGGCTGGAGCTGCAGGGCTATCAGGGCTCAGCGGAAGCGCCAGGATCAGTGCCGCTTTCCAGTTGATCGGCGCTTCTTCGGGGCTGTCAGGGCTCAGTGGAAGCATCAGGATCAGCGCCAGGCTCCAGCTGGAGCTCGGCACTGATCCTGGTGCTTCTGCTGAGCCCTGAAGAAGCACCAATCAGCTGGAAAGCAGCACTGATCCTGGTGCTTCTGCTGAGCCCAGAAGAAGCACCGATCAGCTGGAATGTTGCAGCATCTCCACAAAGGAGGAGGAAGAGGAGAAAGAGAAGGAGGAAGAGGAGAAGGAGGATTGTGGGGTCCTAGGTGCTTTATCTTCCTGGGCTCCAAGATCACCTCAGATGGGGATTGCAGCCAAGAAATTAGAAGACGCTTGCTCCTGGGGAGGAAAGCTAGAGCAAATCTAGACAGCATACTAAAAAGCAGAGACATCACCCTGTCAACAAAAGTGCGTAGAGTCAAGGCCATGGTTTTCCCAGTTGCAATGTATGGCTGTGAAAGTTGGACCATAGGAAAGGCCGAGCGCCAAAGAATGGAGGCCTTTGAACTCTGGTGCTGGAGAAGACTCCTGCAAGTCCCCTGGACTGCACGGCGATCCAACCGGTCAGTCCTAGAGGAGATCAACCCCGACTGCTCTTTAGAAGGCCAGATCCTGAAGTTGAAACTCAGGTACTTTGGCCACCTAATGAGAAGGAAGGACTCACTGGAGAAGAGCCTGATGCTGGGAAAGATTGGGGGCAATAGAAGAAGGGGACGACAGAGAATGAGGTGGCTGGATGGAGTCACTGAAGCAGCAGGCACGAGCTTAAAGGGACTCCAGAAGATGGCAGAGGACAGGAAGGCCTGGAGGAACATTGTCCATGGGGTCACGTTGGGTCGGACACGACTTCGCAACTAACAACAACAAGGTGCTCTCTGAGCTTATTTGTTTTCTTGCAGACCTTTCATGACCCAGCTAGGTAACATCAACAGGGCTAGAAGGGTGAGGGGTTTGATAAGATAAGATAACCTTTATTGCCATTTTTATACGGTGGGCACAATGGCACATATCAAAAATGAAATTTAGTTGCCCGCTCTCATAGTGAAACACATACATGACACACACCTAAACTTACTATGAGCAACACATGTATAGACCCACATCCCTACATATACACAGCAAATAAATATTAAACATTGTCCATCTTGAATATATAACGGAAGGAGGAAGCTTGAGAGTTCGCTCTTTGTTTATAGTGGCTTGTCCTGTAAATGTTGATGGGAGTGTGTTTTTCTCGTTGGTAGTTCCTTGATAAGGGTGTTGTCTACTCTTTGATTGTTCGTCCGACTTGGCAGTACCTTAATGAGGGTATTGTTCAGCGCGGCATTGTTGGTCTGGTACTAAAAATAAAATCTATGCCTTTTTCTTCCTCTGTTTCAGAGTGATTTCCAGCAGCATCCAGCTTCTGGTGCAGGATTTGGACGGAGCGTGTGATCCAGCCCTTACTGCCATGAGCAAAGTAAAATCTTTAAGGAATTTAAGAAAGATTTGGGGGGTCTTTAGCCAGCCCACCCCCTTCCCACTCCGTGCAGAAATTTAACCGATTCTGCACCCCTGATTTTTGCCTGTTGCTCCTTGGCTCAGATAGGACATATTTATTATTTTGGAAATAATTCCCCCTTGCTTTTCTTTCAGGGACTATTTTTAACCTAGAAAAAGGGCCAAGTCTTATTTAGGGTTGGGGGAGAATTGCTTAGTACCTTTCTTGTTCCAAACCCCTCCCTTTTGTGGTCCTGGGAGGCTGTCAGAGTTGCTAAGAAAACATGAAAACTGAGAATTGGGATTTTAAGCTGCAGGGCTGCTTAAAAAAAAGATGGGTTGTCATGTTCAAACCGGCAAAAGGCAATTTTGAAAAGGGTGTAACATTTGCTCGATGGACACTCATCCCCAAGGGAATTGTCACTGTGCCTGAAAGTTTTAAAACTTGTGTGTGTGTGTGTGTGTGTGTGTGTGTGTGTGTGCGCGCGCGCACGTGCGGGGTTGTCTGCAAAAAAGGAAGGGAGAGAAATAGGGTCTTGAGTGAATTTAGCCTGGGTTTCTAAAGTTTTAATTATGTAGTTCAGCTCATTTCTCTTTTTTTAAGGTACTTTATTCAAGTTGATTGTAGGACAAAATACAAATAGAAGCAAAAACGGAGAAAGTTTAAAGAAGAAAGTTTTAAAAAAAAAAGAAGGAAAAAGAGTGCAGAAAGGGGAAAAATCTCTAGATAAAATAGGCAGCACATAAAATCTTAATAAATACAAATACAATACAAATACAAACACTTCCAGCTTTTTTCTGGGCAATATAATGCAAAAACACGTTACAATCTCCATCTTTCGCTTTGCATTTCTAAAGCAATATAATGCATCTTTACAATCTCCATCTTTAGCTTTGCATTTTTCTGGGCAATATAATGCAAAAACACGTTACAATCTCCATCTTTAGCTTTGCATATCTAAAGGTTTCGAACCGTTTCTATAACAACAAAAATCATTCTGGTCCTGAAAGCCTAAAATCAAAAGTTTCACTTTTTCCCAGTTTTGAATACAAAATTAAGAAGTCGTTTCCAAATAGAAAAAAAACACTATACTCTTTAATTGGAGCAGTTGATTTTTGCCATCTGCACCAGCTCCATCATCAAATATTTTATAAATTAGATTATTTACTAAATACACGCTCTATTAACTTCGTTTATTTGTATTATTGGTTTTACAAATAACTCAAGGTGGCAAAACATACCCAACATATCGTCCTCCTCCTACTTTCTCCGTAACAACAGCCCTGTGAGGTAGGTTGGGCTGAGAAGGAAGGGCTGGCCCAAAGTCACCCAGCTGGCTTTCATGCCTAAGGCGGGACTAGAACTCTCAGTCTCCTGGTGATTGGCTCAAAGTCACCCAGCTGGCTTTCATGCCTAAGGCGGGACTAGAACTCTCAGTCTCCTGGTGATTGGCCCAAAGTCACCCAGCTGGCTTTCATGCCTAAGGCGGGACTACAATTCTCAGTCTCTTGGTGATTGGCTCAAAGTCACCCAGCTGGCTTTCATGCCTAAGACGGGACTAGAACTCTCAGTCTCCTGATGATTGGCCCAAAGTCACCCAGCTGGCTTTCATGCCTAAGGCGGGACTACAATTCTCAGTCTCTTGGTGATTGGCTCAAAGTCACCCAGCTGGCTTTCATGCCTAAG